CTAACACGTATAGGGTGCTTTTGCACTCTTCACTTTCCTAATCTTCTCATGAAGAAAATACTTCTCTTTCACTCATTGTATAGATGAGGAAGCAGGCAGAGAGGTTAAATGGTTTCCCCAGAGTTAACAGCTGGTAAGGGGTAGGATTGGGATTCACCGGGGCAGATGGGCCTTAGAATCCACGCTCTAACTGTTGGCCCATCAGATGGTGGTATTTACAGCCATTTCGGTAAAAGCTGTATCAGAACAAAGGTGTCATAGGAATTATTTTTAACAGTGTGTTTAATTTTGCATTTTATTGTATCTGAGGCAGTACACTGGAACTCGAAACAGTCAGCCTCTTTTTATAGCTAAATGTTGGCCCAACATTGCCATTCCTTTTCTATAACTTAATCCTTTCTCTCTACTCTTCAAAACTACTTTACCTGAAGGCTTTAAATGAAGATTTTAAATCAAGCTTGTCAGTAGTTAATAAAATACAGGCCAGTATTAAATTCCTAGAACTATTTGAGCATTATTCAGTTTAAGGTTATAATTTATTATCTTTTTATGTGTATATTTTTAAATTTTTCTCTTTTAAACAGTTTTCTATCTCTTTGGGAGAATTTATATGCAGTTACACAGATATGATTAAAAAAACAAAATAAAAATACAAAGCTTTAAACTTTTTGACAACTGATACAGTGTGTACAATGAATACATATACAGGTTAAGTCTTTAAAAAGATAATTACCCTCATCTTTAAGTCTCCACTTTTTCAGTTCTTCAAATTATTCCTAATTTTGCACTTGATTGTCAGCAATTCTAGCCACTTGAGCTAATAAATTCCATTTCCTCCTTCCACTGTTCTCCCCCTACTGGAATACTGATGTATGCATGACAGTCTATAAGATTTGGCATTTCACCACTGGGAGCAGTTAAGAATGGGCCGGCCTTGCCTGCCATACCCTGTATGCAGAAGAGAGGCTGGCTCTGTCTGGAGAAGAAGGAAGGAGAGAGAGGTGTGGGTCAGAGGAGGGAGAGGGGATACAAACATAGGCTCAGCCAATTTTAGGATGAAATCAAGAAACCAAAGCCAATACATCTAATTCAGTGGATCCAAGTTTCTTGTTACTCAAATGAAGGCAGTCCTTTGGGGTTGATAGTGGAGAATCTCTGTTACCAGCCCTGTAATTTGCACTGATAACTATACTGTAGTTGCTAGTTTTCAAGTTTATTACAATATTGTATTGGGATCAGTGGTTTTTCTCTAAATAAAGAGGCTGGTTGTGTGGGGTCTTGCATCTTATAAAATTTTAGGAAATTTTCAGCCATTTTACATCAAACTGGAAAGATCAGCCTTTCTTTCCACTTAGTGATGTTTTTGGTGTTTGAACAAAGCACTTACAAGTGCATCTGTTGTACAAATAATCATTCTTGTTAAGAGAGACCTTGTTACCCTTGGCACCTCCTGGGAACATCCCTAAATTTGGATGGTGAAGTAAGGCCATATTTTAAAAACATCCCTGGAAGGGATGAAATGCTCAGAACTTGGCAGTGTTTCATTTCTGACGGCCTAGTTCTTAAGCCGCAAACAATCTAATTGGTGGTTACAGCTTTTTCCATAAGAGCATTTTGATGAATTAAATGTTTCTCCTACTTCTTACTCTTCTCATGTCCTCAGCAAAATTATTACATTGTGTTCACCTTGGTGCCTAGCGAGTTCCTGGTGTGTGGTAGGCAATCAGGAACCATTTGAAAACGTGAGTCCTCACTATACACGCCACTGTCTGTGCCGACAGATCCCGAAGGTCCTCCGAGCTACAAAACATCAGAAGTGTACTGACAGGAGAACCAATTGATCATATGCAATAGCAATATTAATGACATTACATTAATGTGAATTGTATTGGGTCATTTTCTTTTTATGTTTTTTAGGTAAGAAGCCATCAGGTTCTTTATTATGGCCTGGTAGGTAAACCATGGTGCGAATTTCTGTTGGCTCTTGTTTGTAGACAGTGCCCTTTGTGTAAGGAGCACTTTTTAAATGCTGCCCAATTTGAATATTGGAGCACTGAACTTGCTCAGCTAGCAGTTTTGGCTTTTGTTGGTGACTCATTTGAACCTTTCAGAAACCCAAACTAATTATGGATATCAGAAACTGCCTGCTCTAGGGAGTTAGGACTTATTGATGAAGAGAGTGTGGTAAAATGTATTAGCTGTTAACAGAAAAGATTGATAGAGAGATGTCAGAAATTGCCTGCCATTCTCTTGGTCTATACATTTTCAACTTGATGATCGATAAATTTCTCAGATAAGAATTGATCTAAATTGCTTGGTTTGGTATAGGATACTTACAGTATTTATTTTGTGTTAGACATCATACCGAGTGCTTTCCATTGGTTTTTTCATGTAATCCTCAGAGGAAGCCTGGCTTTAACTCCATTTTAAACTGTGGAGTAGGTAAGTTTGGTGACTTGCTCAGGTTACACAGCTTGCAAGTGAGAGAGCCAGAATATGAACCCAGAAAGAATTCATAGGGACTTATTCCAGAGCCCTCCCTTTTCCTTATCTGTAAATTTTAAATAATAACAACTTCTGTCTTACACAATTGTGAATATTGAGACAGGGCAGTAAAGTATCAATAACAATGCTAGTAGGTGCTCAATAATTGATAACTGTATTAGTAATGATTTCTCTTACTATCAATGCTAAGAAATGCTTAGTATTTTTCATTTTACCCTCTGTTCCCTCTATTGTGCTTTCTTTACTAACTCAATCAAAAAGTTTGAAAGGGTTAAAAAAAAAAAAAAAAAAGAGGTAGCTGGGATAAGGAGAGAATTGCCATATTGGCCCCCATTAGTTAACAGTCATATCAGTGAATCTGGAAGTATTTTCACATGTAAAAAGGAGGAAATTAAGCAGTGTCTTGAGGAAGTGGGACTGTAATTCATGTTTGCCATTCTTCTCTTATTTTCCTTCTCATCCTATCTATATTCAATAGACAAGCTCCCTTTGGTATCTATATAGTTGGGTAGCCTTAAGCTTTTCTTCTTAATGACAGTTCCATATGCTATTAAAATTAAAATTTTTCAGTTATCTTAAGTGTGAAATTATAAAATTCAAAGTAATTCATAAACTGTATTTTAAGCTAGGCAAAATAGAGAAGTTAGATGTTTTTATGTAATTCTACAGTTTTTCAGTGATTTGGGAAGAATGAAAAATTAAAAGTCTGCATTGGGGACAAGAGTTAGGAATCCTATTGTTACCAAGGGAATTACGTGCTTTACTCATGCATTTTTCTCATTGGTACTTTCATTGGGTTAAAACTTTAGAAATTGTTTTTATCAGTTCACTTGTTTCTTTTGGTTATTTTGTTTTTACTATTTCTTAGATAAGGACAGGAAGCATCCATAGTTTCACTTTTTGAAACTTTTTGAAACATTTGCATGGAATCCAGAAAAAAATTTACATACTTATTTCTAAATCTTTTAAAAATAAATCACGTATTTTTTTCTAAAGCTTTAAAGGTTTTCATCTAAAATTTAAAACAACGCTTTTCACAAGAGCCCTTTGTTGAGTTTAGGTGCAATAACACTAATTAATTTTTATTCTTATTTAAACATTTTTATGTTTCTACAAGTTGGATTTTGTTTCTTTAGCAGAGAGTTGGCCACCTCTCTCACACCAGATGAGCGAGATAAAAAGCCCAGGAGTAACCTGCTTCCTCCCTACCTAGAGAAAGCACCTGGGAGCAGGCAAGCGAGATACACGTGTCACAGGAGTATTACTCCCGTGAAACATGATCAGAATCCTTGTTTGTCCCAGCCTTCAGATTTTCACATCTTTACATGCTCTTCATGAAGCAGCCTTTTACCATCTTTCCTTATCAATGAAGCAAAAGCTTTGGGCTCTGTGTGTCTGGTTGGGAGAGGTGCTTAATTTAGTGAACTAAATTGGACAGAAAACTATCTTCTAAACATTTTCTAGGAATGCTGTGCATTGCCTTAAGCCCTGGGTTCCAGCCCTAAGCAAAGAGGGAGAGACTAATAACTTCGAATTCAAAGTGAATTGGATTTTTAAAATTACTTTTGGGATTAAGGAATCTCTTCCAGGGGAAATAGAAGGGGAAACTGAGAAATCTGGGGTAGTCTCCCAAATGTCAGTGCAGATTCCCCTCTTCTCTCTCCTGCACTCCATCTTACACTGACTGCATGGTCTTCTCTTTGCTGACAAGAAGTTCCAGTCCCCAGACACGCGGTGACCTCGGTGGTGGGCCTCCGGTGGGCGGACCAGGAACGTCACCTGGGCCGGTCTCCTCGCTGCCTCGCGGCTTCCTGCACGCCCGGCGGCCTCGGCGGCGGCCCATTCATGCTTTGACAGCTGCGTGGCCGCCGAGCGCCCGGCTCAGCTCCTCACCAGCCCCGCGCCCCGCTCTCCGGCCGGGCGGAGGCCCGACGGCGACCGCAGTCGGCGGCACCCCGGGGTGGGCCGCCGGCTCCTCCATAGGTGGCTCCGTTTCCGACTTCGCCCTGGCTCCACTCCGGGGGCTTGACGTGCAAACTTCGCCGGAGCGAGCCGAGAGGGAGGGACCGGCGAGGGGGAGGAGGCGGCGGGAGGCGCCTCCGCTTAAGGGAGCCGGCCGGTGCCGCCGCGCGGACGGACGCGCGGACGGAAGGGCCCGGGCCGGGGATGCGAGCGGCCTCAGGGTGAGCGCCGGGGGCCGGGCCGGATGCGGGCCTCTCGGGCCGGGCAGGCGGGCGCCGGCCTCCGGGCCGGGCCGGGGCAGAGGCGGGCGGGGACCCTGCGCCGCGGAGCCCGGGGCCGGCGGCTCGTCCCCTCCCCCGAGGCCGCGGAGGCGAAAGCGAAAGCGGACGGGAGGCGCGGACTTTGCGCCGGGCGGGGGAGGCCGGGCGGCGGGCCGGCGGCCGCTGTCAGGCGCCCCACCCGCCGGCCGCGCACGCCGCCGGAACTCCGGCGCCTCCTTAACGCGGCCGCGCTGCCTTTTTGTTGCACTGCAGGAGCGGAAAGAATGTCGGAGCGGGCCGCGGATGACGTCAGGGGGGAGCCGCGCCGAGCGGCGGCGGCGGCGGGCGGAGCAGCGGCGGCGGCCGCCCGGCAGCAGCAGCAGCAGCCCCCGCAGCCCCAGCGGCAGCCGCCGCCGCCTCGGCGCCTCCGGCCGGAGGACAGCGGCCCCGGCGCCGCCTCCACCTCGGCCGCCGCCGCCATGGCCACCGTCGGGGAGCGCAGGCCCCTGCCCAGTCCCGAAGCGATGCTGGGACAGTCGTGGAATCTGTGGGTCGAGGCTTCCAAACTTCCTGGGAAGGACGGTGAGTGCACGCCCTCCTCCCCGCCCGCCCGCCCGCGCCCACCGCCGGCCGGTCCCTCCCGCGGCCGCGCAGCCCGGGGGCAGAGATGCTGCCGCTCGGAGGGGGAGCGAGGTGCCCGCACCTCTCCGGGCGCGAGCCGCGTCACCCCCGCACTGACCTGCCTCCCCTCCCGTGTGTCTCCTAGGGACGGAACTGGACGAAAGTTTCAAGGAGTTTGGGAAAAACCGCGAAGTCATGGGGCTCTGTCGCGAAGGTGAGTCCGCCCCCCAAGGAGCCCGTGCCAGCCCGGGAGTGTCCTCGCCGGCTTCCCCGGGCAGGGTGCCCCCCTGCCCACTCCTCCCGGCGGGCTCGGGGATGTTGCCGGGGAGGAAGAAGCGGGAGGAGGACGAAGCGGTTGGAAATTGGTTTCCGAGGGGCTTTCCGTGATGGGGAGCGCCTGGAGCCTCCGGTGTGGCTGCTCAGTGGTGAGCGCTGGCACCTGCGGGAGTTCAGGTTTGACCTGGACGGAGGAAGACCAGGAAGGAATTCGTTTCCGAAAGCATTTCCGCAGACGCTTTCTGGAGTTCTGGAAAAGAAATCTGGCCACCTGAAATTTTCTACTGGTGATCAAAATGAATTTTGAACTTTAAAAAAGATGGCACGTTACCTGTGCAGCCTTACTTTTATGGAATTTGAGTTACAAAAGTTCAACAGGATCATCACAGCTGAGGAGCGGTTGGTCAGATTCTTTTGTGAGCTGTCAAGATTGGGGAGTCGGGGATACATATGGTGAAACAAGTCTATATAGTGCCCCGAAGGTGAAAACAGTCTAATTATTGGTCAGCTTTTAGTGGTAGAAGAATACTGTAGGGAAATATCTGTAGCTAAAGGTGTGCCTCCCAATGCAAGTCAAGTCAGCCATCTAAACTGTCAGACTTCCTTCAGATTTCCGCTGTGTTTTTGTTTTGTTTTGTTAAATAGTCGCATTTGCTGTCTAGTTAACGCCTGTGCCAGGCCTGGTCAGAAAGAACTCCTGAGGCCAGTCAACCTTGGGTTCAGGTCCAGTTAGTTATTTTCAGTGGTACTATGAATTCCAAGGCCTTGAGTGGAATTTGATGATCCAAAATACTGAGTTTATATTCCCCTGTGCAATTTTATTTTTCACATGTAGCCATTTATTTTAGCATAGTTACTGTCCAGGGCACAAGAATAGGTAGAACTTTGGCAATTGGAACATATTAAAGTCCGGAGTTGGCTGGTTGTTACTGTCCTCACATTTATTGTGTTTAGGGCCGATCTTTTCTTCACATCTACTGTTTTGGGTTTTTGAATTGGCCACTTGTTGGCCTCTTGGCACCAGGAGGAAGAGTAATTCCATTGGCAGCTCTCTGAGAGCTTCCAATTGGAACAGATTATAGAGCAAATTAGTTGATTTTGAAAATGAGAATTGCTGTTTGCAAGCAAAGGAAAAAGAGGGAAAGCACAGGACTTGCTGGTGATGTTGCAATAGGAAAAGTCAGTTGTTAGTCCGGTTTTAGTGTTGAATTGGCAGCTTGCCTGGGCTTAAAAAATTAAAATCACTAGGTGGCAACTCTCATAGGAAGCAATTGGAGTAGAGCTTTAGAGGACCTGACCTGCACTTGTTCTTAGTTTTCATTCTATGGGTGTGGATACATTTCCCAGAAAGGGTTTCTAAGTCTGTGTGAAAACTGCGTGCTAACTATTGGTAATTTCTCTGTAGAGGATGAGTAAGTGTGTAAATGTTTCACTGGGCAGATGTTTCACACCTGGACTGAGACCCACTTAACTCAGTGGCCTGGACCCAGTTTCTCAGTGTTCGTTATTTTCTGCAGGGACGTATTCTTTAGCAGGTTTGACCATGAAGATCTAAGATCTCTGAACTACCATCTTGATGTGCAGAGGGGTAATAGATTTGGTTGTATGTGATTCTGACCAAATTATTCAGGACTGTTAGGGGTACCATTTTTTAAACCGCTCTAACCATTCAGAGGATGCTCATCTGAAACTCTGCCTGCCTGTTTGGAGTAAAACAAGTTTTTTAATTCAGTCAGATCTTGATTCATCTGTGACAGGATTTTCTAGGACATTTAAAAAATCCCATCATGAGAAGGTTCAGCACTCATCCAGGGGGCCTTTCTTTGTTTTTTAACAAAGAGCTTATGTCAGGTTGCTTAAGAAAGGAAAATACATTTTAAAATTAACAAAAATTATTAGACAATTTTCCTCTGTCTTTGGTTACATTATTTTCTATCAAGAAAAGGTGTTTTGGAATTACATCCATACTAACTTGCTCTTGTCAGTGAGGTAAAATTGAGAAGGAATGTGTAAGTAACTTCATCATATGAAGTATAATGGATCCTCCTTTTGGATCTTAATGGAAAGCTGTGAGAGAAGCGATTTGTTTGAAAATGGAATCATTTTTCCCCATTAGAAATAATGTAAATTGAATTAACCCATTCCAGACCCCCAAATGATTCCTATTGCTTTAATCTTTCTTATATACAATACATGTCTAATGCGCTGTTTAATTTATAAATAAACACTGCCACCTCTACTAGCCTTAAGGGACTTTTCTTATATCACTGCCTCCGAAATGCTATCACTGGCTAACTGCTTTTCCTTTATCCAATCAACAAGTTTTTCTTCTTATTCAGTTGCCTGTGATTGCTGTTTTGTGAGCACTTTCACACCCTTACAACATTAGCAAGGCTCCCTTATGTTTTAAAATTGTGCTGATCCTCAATTTAACCAGCAGCAAAAACATTCTCTCCTTTGTTACCCGAGAGAAGCTTTTTGTCTTACTGAGATATCCGCGTGAAAAGGTTTTCAGGTTAGAAACTGAAGATTTGGTTGATAACCGAGCCCTTTTTTTCTGTGAACAACTTGGTCAAGAACTGAATTAATTGTTCCAGATGGGAGATGTTCAAGAACCAAGGTTTGACTGTGCTAGAAGTCAGAAACGCTCCATCTTGGAAGATGTCCTGAAGTATGGACTCGAGTTCTTAAATTCTTCCCTAGTTCATGATTGAGGACCTAAGGATTAGTAATCTGGGTGTGAGAAGAGGATGCTTAACCTTGAATTAGTTCCTTCACCTCTCAGAATCTAGCTTTCCCTCTTGGTAAAAGGAGACGGTAATACCTGCATCCCAAGGTGGTTGTAGGGTTGCAATTTAATTAGATAATGTATTGGAAATGACTGGATGCTTCTTACAGCCCTGTCAGCTGCTGTTAGTCTGAGACCTGATTTCCTAATTTGACGTTTATCTAGGTCAGGAGTTTTTAATCCAGGTCTTCAATGGGCTTTAGGGGGTCATAGTTCCCCAGATTTAAAATTACCACCCTAAGGTCTTGATCTTTTTTTCCTCTTGTCTTTTTTTTTTTTTTTTTTTTTTTCCCCCCCAGTTTCCTCATAGCAAGAATGCCCAGTGGTTATGGCCGTAGGGAAGATTGGAATTATTGATTTATATGGAAGTGAGATTATTTGAGGTTTAGCTGATATATCATTCCCTCATTCCCTCTTCCAATTAATAAGTAGGCAAATTTTAGGATAAGATTTCAGTTATCTTTCAGAGGTTAGCCAGTTTTCATCTTTATCCTCATACTTGCATTGCCTTGTTTTCTTCTAATTTGTAACATTTGTTGATTGTAGGGTTGATTTTGGTTGAGAGAAGATTGATGATAGATTTTACTTAATTCAAATGACTGAACTCAGAAGATAATACCTTTCTTTTCATGTGATTTGTGAAACTCTAGAGTCCACAAAATTATGTTTAGATGAACTTGATTGGTGTAAGTTAACTGGTTAAAGGTTTCTATATTAGTGCCTGAACATATAGGGAGCCTTTAAAAACAAAAACATTAAATGCTTTAATTTCTTGGCAATTAAAAACAAATAAACTATATGGTGTCCTTGTGGGTGTCAACCGTATTTTTGGGAAATAACATTTTCTTAGGGATGTTATCTCTGACTCCTCTTAAGCTTATTATACAATATCAAAGTAGCCCCTCCTCTTCTTCTCCACTCTGCAAATCACCATGTGGAAGCATGGGTCATATATGTTGGCTTTCATTAGAGTGGAAGTTCCCAGAGGACACTGGCATGGCTGACTAACATATACAGGGTGGGGCAAAAGTACATTTACAGTTATTCCTATGAAAAATAACATAATAATAAATAATTATGCAAGAATAAACTCCGTTTGGCGTGCTCACAACTGTAAGCCTACTTTTGCCTCACCCCGGATTTAGCTCCAGCACAATGCTCCTTGGGCTATCATGAAGATTGAACTGAGTCACTCACAGATGAGGGGTTCAGGTGACCAATTTGTGACTTAGCCTCTGAGGAGAGGTGTGCTTTTGGCCACTGGAGAGGCCAGAGGCTGTCTTTCAGCAGGTCCTGTTGCTGTCTGTCCTGAGGTTAGCACTTCATTTACACTTTCCTGAAAGAGTGCAGACAGGACATCATCTCTCTTATCTCTAATATTTAGGCGAGGGCATAAGATGGCAACCCAGGAAGATGTCCACACTTGATGACAGGTGTTTTTTCCTCATAATAACAGGGTCATAATTGAGCCTAAGGCAAGATGGAAAAGATGCTGGTTGGCACCTACTGGCAGTTAGGTGGGTTTTTTTTGTTGTTGTTTTGTTTTTTTTAAAGTCAGACTGAGGAGGTAGGTTAGCCTCAGTCAACACAGACAGAGTTAATATAACAATACCAATTTTTTCTTTCCTAGGTAAAAAAAAAAAAAAATAGTTTGTAGTTAACCTGAGAACAAATACATACATGGATGTTTGTGTGAAGTACTGTTAAAACAACTACATTATAGGCATAGAACCCCCTCCCTGAAGTTAAGAACATTTTTATTTTTCTCTAGAGTTCCTCTTCTGTTTTCTTCTGTGTGTGTGTGTGTGTGTATGTATGTATACAATTTGAAATTTATAAAAATAGAGAAACTACTTTAATGAGCCAACCTTCTTTTATCCATCACACAGCTTAAACAACTGAGTCATGACCCAGTGTTGTTTCATCTCTACCCAGCTCCCCACACTGAGTTAGTTTGAAGGACATCCCAGACATATCATTTCCTTTGGTTTTCTTTTTTATGCTTCTATGGACTTCAGCTTGTCTCCTACCCAAGGGAGCCTTAAAGTGCTCTGCACCTCCTTTTCAGGTAGCCAGGCTGCCATTTCTCATCTCTCTCTGAGTGTGTAAGGGTTCTGCAGGTGACAGTGCTTACCGACTGCCTGCATCTC